TTATATTACTTGTCATGCATCATTTATTAACTATTCATTTGCTCTCTAATATGACTTGATATTTAAATTTGTTTTAAGGCAATAAAAAAAACTGTATTAGACTACGGTTTATGCAAATTCTAGAAAAAATATAATCTTTCTAACCTTCGGATGTATATAAAACTACTTATATTGATTAGTATCATCGATATAGATATACCTTAATGATTAGAGATCGTATCATGATCGTTTAAATATTCTTGCTTCTTACTAGAAAAAATGTAGGATAAATTGTACGAATATTAATTTATTTTTTGAAATACAGCTAATTTATCTCATGTGAAGTATTACTTCAATAAATGTAAAAATGGATTACCTTAATTCATTACAAGGTCTCGAACTTGCACATAAAATAACAGTCAATGAAAAGAAATTTTTTTTATAACTCATAGAATTCTTCTATACTCTTTTTTTTGGATTAAAAAAGGTTAAATTGACATAGATAAAAGTTCATGTCTTCATTGTTAACAGCTGTAGGTAAAAATTAAAAAAAACTGACGCATTGTAATTAGAAAAGTGAATATATTTTTATATCGCGACTACTTTCAATTTCCAATGTAATTTATTCATGTTCTTAGAATATCATTACCGCAAAACTTTGAATACGAAATTCAATAACATTTTTTATCAAGAATATATTAAAAATGAAATCGAAAAGACACTCTCAAGACATTTTAATGCTGTCAGATTTAAAACGTGTTTTTCTTATCTAGGCTTGTTCTTATTTTAATTTGATCTCAAAGATATGACTTTTATCAATATGAATACTAATTGAAATAAGATTTGTAGACAGTGCTAATCACAGGAGATAAATCTTCCGTTAATTGCTTAGTGTAAATTTTTTCATTTGTCTCAGTCACTTAATATTTCTTTTCTAATAATAAATTCATAACCGCAAAATGAAAGTACTTTTTTTATAAATGACTATAAGCAATAGGAGAGTCATTGTCAATGTTAAATGGTATGAATTTTTGAAAACTATAGAAAATAGAAATAAGCTTTTTCTCTTCTAATCTATTTTATCTAAATGAATTTTAACAAAATCGTGCAGTAACTATGATTAATATCCTCGTATAATAAAACACGTAGACATTTAGTTACTGCATGAACAGATAAGTTTGTCTAAATCTATAAAAAATAAATTTAATTTACCTAATAATACGTTAAAATAATGATTAGCATTAATCGGGATAAAAAGAAAAAGATGTAATATTCACCTTGAAGAATATTGAAGTACAGTTAAATAGCTGACGTTTTAGCGGACAACTCAGGTCATGCGTTCTTTTCTTTTCTTCTTCAATGAAATATACTCGCGGTAAGAATAAGTAATCGACAAGAAGAAGAAGAGAAAAAGAAGAAAAAAAAGGATCAGGTCATACTCGCGTTTTTTCATGCCCATATGACTATATACTTAGTAACATTCTCTACTCTTATATTCAAATGTAACGTTTTCTAATATCTCAATGTTTACATATAGCATCGTCTTTGTATTGTATTGATAAGAAAGGTTTAGGTCACCTTTATATAAGCAAAAAATTTATGTACACGTGATGATAATAAAAAAATTTCTACTAAAACGAAACAATGACACCTCAGACTCGACGTCTTATCAAATAAGAGTAAATAACGCTACCTATAAATGCCCTCAACAAGGATTTTACATGTTTTTTAATGTATACAATGTATCCCTATAATTATGAATATTTCTTATCTATATGATAATAGTTGATTTATATTATAAAATTTCTATTAATTAAAAATATGTAGATGAATTTGCATACTTTACTTGAACTAGAACTGAATAAAAATATAATTAGAACTTCTTCTTTTTTTTCTT